CTACGCCTTGAAGTCAAATACAACACGTGTGAATGACATTTTAAAAAAATTAAAACAATGACATCGGTTTTACACTTCTTCCATTATTTGAAGTCATACTTAATATGTTTCTCTTCCATCATAACCTGTGTTGCGTTACCGTAAATTGTTTCCGAGTAGCATAAACGGCAGCAGTTGTACACACACAAAACTTAACTCAACGTTTCTTGTACAATTCCTTACGAATTCGCATCCAGACTTCTTTAACCTATCTTTATCATTCACCGAGGATAAAGAAAATTCTGTTTCGTGTCCAAGCTAAAACACAACATAAAGTTCTAGCGCCATCTAGTGGCAAGTAACTACGTTGTTGTGACGCGCTTCATTTTCCAAAGCCCTAAACCGAATTCAGTTCTTTGTAGATTACTTTTGCTTTCAATTTTCCTTCGCGGGAAGAACAAAGTGTCGTTGATGCTTTTGTCAACTATTTGTGCATTTCATGAGGTGTAGTAAACATTTCTGCATGATGGCAGCAGTTGTGCAAAGGTGTCAGAAATAATAGATTTGCTCAAAGATGCTCTTTGCGCTGCTTTTCACAGGACTGAAGTTGTAAATGAGCGCTTGGTTCTCTTCGTCCTCTGTGGCAAATCGGTGGAAGTTCTTCCTGGCTGTGACGTCACATAAAACAAAAGCACCCGACATCAACTACTCAATTGATATCACACAGACGGAGGAGGCAATAGCGAGAGCCGCTTCCATACCTTCGCTCACAAAGAACTCCGCCATGAAGAAGGTGACGCGCACCCCCGAGGGAGTGTGCGCCACAAACGGCCGCCTCCACTCAAAGGCGTTTTTCTCCGGGTGCCACTGCGTGCCGTAAATGGGGTAATCGAACGCTAGAGAGGACACAAGGCGTTCCATCAGTCACAAAGGGAGGAGAAGCACAACATTGAAGTCAATCCTACCTTCCACCGTGGACAGAAACTCCGTTTTTCCGTCTGTGTTGGTGGAGAGAACTTTGTAAAATGAGGTCAGTGTGTTGCTGCTGTTAAACGCCTAAAAAAAATAATTAAAAAAATAAAGGAACAAGATTTTTAAGAGAAAGAGACTTGACATATGCTAGCGTGCATGCATGCTCCCGTATTGTTTAAGCTAACGTACGTTTTTTTCATGCCTGCGTCCAATAATCCAGCACGTGTTACGTTTGGGTTCAATCCAGAAATATCATCCGTGACTGACACAGCGCCTCTTTAATGCGGTACGCCGTACGGTCGTGAAAATACGTTACCTCCATGGCCAAACTCCAGCGGTGCGAGTTCTCGGTGAGAGGTTCCAAGGCCAACGCATCCATGAGTTCAGGGGGGAACCCTTGGAACATTCTGCTACCTTTGGCCTCTGGGGGAGGAAGGAAAAAAAAGAAAATGGTCGATGCCAATGTCAACGACCGATCAACATTGCTTGCTCTTACCTTTGGTAAACTTGAGCGGCAAGGACACGGCAGTGGTGTTTGTCCGCGTGAGGAGTGAGACGCCGTTGGTCAAGAGGAAGAGCTGCTCCAGGCCCAGGCACGTCCCCCAGATGGGGAAGTAGTCGCCTCTCCGATTGGCCTGCGGCAGGCGACATACGTGCGTTTTGACATATTAGGCTCCAAGGCCAGCCCGCTTTGTTGCGCGATCACCCGACTACCTCCAGGGCCATCTCGTAGAAGATCTTGGAGCTCCTCTGGTAGCCCGATGAGAAGATGCTGGCCCCGCCTCCGGGAAAAAGCACACTGGTGGTCGGTCACACAAGTGCAACAATGACAATTAGTAAAGTCATTTGTGTTTGGTTTTTTTTTTTAAACAATTTCTTCAAATTTTGCCAAGTCTCCATTCTCTATGAGAGGAGGCAATCCGCAATTTGTTCTGTCTAAAATTTGTGACAAAATTGGGCTTCTTAAAAAAAAACAAAATTCTGATGTGCCAGAAGCAGAAGTGGCCTGTGTCTCTTTGCTTTGTTTTAATCTTCTTCTCTGCTTCATCTAAATGTCACGGTGCGGTGGAAATGTCTCCAGCTCCCTGTATCTGTCCCAATAAAATAAAATCTGCAATCTGGCATCCCATACTTACCCGTTAATGGACTTGAAGAGTCTCCTGTACTCTTCATCGGTCTGGTTGATCCTGCAAAGAGAGTTTATCATGAAAATAATGGTGGTGGCGGTGATTTGAATTGTCAAAACTGACATGATGGGCACCACTCTGGCTCCTGCCGCCTCCAAGAACTTGACGTAGGAAGCAGCGATGTAAGCATTTTGATTTTCTTTGGGCGTGGACAAATCTTGCGCCAGTATACCTTCACAAGAGCATGGACACAATAGTACATAAATTAGAAATAAATCCTTTCGGGAGAAGTGTGGAAATAGAGGAGGTTGTGAAGGAGACCCACCGATGATGGGTTCGTCATTTCTGCTAGCTTGCGGAGTCGATTGAAGCGACGGCAAGCAAAACAAAACAAGCAAAGAAATGCAACACGTAAACCCAAACATGTTTCGGAAAGAGAACCAAGAGGACAAAAACGACTCGAGTGCGCGGCAGCCTCTCTTGGCGAAGTCCTCGTCGATAAAAGTCATGAAAAACAAATCGGGCAGAATAGGTGAAAATCGATGAAAAGGTGTTTGCTCACCTTTGGACTTTAAACCCCAGCAGTCAAGCATAATCCAGCGTCCAGCGTTAGCCCGAATGTGCATCGGCAACAACTTCCGCTTGGGGCACTTCAAAATAAAATATTTACTCAACAAAAGCGCAGCGGGCTGTCAATAAAAACAATTATACTAACAAGACACTCATCAGAGATTAAAATATACTATTGGAACGACGCAGAATTTGGCACTACGGTCGCGTTACCATTAATTTCGCTTTGCATTTGATGGAGGAAAAGTTAGAAACAGTTGTTTTCGATATGATTTATGTTTAATTCTGCATTTATATTACTGTGCGAAACGTGCTGAACTTGACATGGCTCCAAAGAGCCTATTGTTGACAATTGACGATCAGATAAGAGGAAACCAACCAAGGCGACCCTTCTGCATTTCTCAAGATATGCTGAATTGACGTATCAAAAGTGCTTTGACGTATTAAAAAAATGATTATAAGGCTTATGCATTTGCTAAGGATGTGATGAAATATTGAAACATGTACTTTGGAGTGAAAGTCAGTTGGCTGATACCACAAACTTCCCCTTAGTGGCCTCACCATGTAACCTAGGGACCTCAAGAGCGGGTAAAACGAGGTTTAGGAGAAATGTGCGCAGCCTTCTTCCTACTCTCCTCGCAAACAAAAACAAAGAGACGTCTCCTCTCTTCCTTTTTGGAAATGCTTATTTGTCAATTTATATTTTAAACCTGACAGCATTCAACAATAAAAGGCTGACACTGTGGTCAGTTTTGCATGTGTGAAAACGCTGCTTTTCTCACGATGACTTGTTAGCACTTCCTGTGTGTTGAGCTTGCGAGTTCTCCCCGTGCCTGCGTGTTTTTTTTTTTTTTTTCCGCTCCCAAAACATGCATGGCAGGTTCATGGAACACTAAATCGTGCATGTCAAGCTCTGGAAATGGAGGGCCTGTTTTCCAGCTCTCACGGCTGCAACACCCGATTCAGAAGATCAGCTCTGAAGCAGCATGAGAACGATCCTGATTATTTCAATCAAGAGTGTTGCTCCCGGGAGAGCTGGGAAAACAGGCAGGACAGCGGCCCTTGAGAACCGAGTTTGGACACCATTGCTCAAAATTGTCGCCCCGTGACCCTCGTGAAGATAAAGCAGTTCAGATAACGGATGAATTTTAGGACCTGTAAAGAATTTTAAGAGCTATGACATCAAAGAGATGCTGACAAGTCGTTTTCGTAATTGAATGATGACTTTTGTACCGTCAACAAAGAACACCCACACACACAGATGTCATGAAATGAGAAAACTTTATTCTTTTTAACAAAGCACCAACCGATTCTTGGAATTTGTTTTTCTCCATTTTTTTCAGCATGAAAATATATAGCAAGACACATGGAAGGCTGAACCCTCCAAAATAAGCATCCCGACTCACCTCCATTCTACGATAGTAGCAAAACAAATAGAAAAACACACAAACAAACAACAAATGATAAATTACATGACTTAGATTTTCTCTTCTGATTTCATATGTTTATGTGCTCTGACAGTATAAATAATGGATTTAAATTAAATAACCCGGTGCTGAGCCAACACCACAAATGAAAACAAAATGAAGATTTAGCAAAGAAATGAAGTACAGTGCATCAAATTTATCGGTCACTGGCTGTCTGATGGAAAGACGCAATGAAAGTAGTGGAAACTGCTTCAAACATCTCCGTGACAACCTGTAAACAAAACAAAACAGCCCTCAAGAGCTGTCTTTTACTTCCCTTGGAGTGGACAATTGGTGACGATTTGGGGGATCATAGAAGAAGAAAAAAAAAAAGGGTCTCTTCGGTTGGGGCAGCAAGAGGTGCAGCAACCTAAAATCTAGCACATTCCCTACCAGAGTTGGCAAAAAAAAGTGAAAACTGGCCCCAGCAATGCTTCATTTTATGTGCCAAAGGGACGACGCGTTGCGGCACGGACGGGAGGTCTCGGCACTGTGCCCTCAAGGTGGGTTCAGACTCCTCGGGGACCGGTTCTTAGGTGTTCTTGTGGGTCTCCACGCAGAGGACCACATAGTCGTTGGAGCAGCTCCGCGTCTGCTGGCCCAGCAGCAAACCGGAGGTCAGGGCGGACGACTGGCCCGCCACCGACACGTGGTCGGCGCGCCACATCTCGCAGTGCTTGTCCACCAGGCGCAGACCTCGCGGGCTGGAGCCGTGCCAGATGCTCTTCTCGGGCCTGTCAGCACCCAGAGAACGGGAATTTATTTTGTACCAAATGGTTCCCGTTTAAATGTTGACTTTGAGATTGAAACATCCATCCATCCATTTTCCGATCCACTTCTCCTCACAAGGGTCACGGGGGGGGGGGGTGCTGGAGCCTATCCCAGCTGTCTTCAGGCAGTAGGTGGGGGACACCCTGAACCGGTTGCCAGACAATCGCAGGGCACGCACAGATGAACAACCAAGAGTTTTTCTTTCTCAAAAATATTATTTCTCATTAAAAAAAAAAAAAAAAAAAAAATTGGGTTCCAAGATTACTTTCTTGAAAAGATTCTTAAAACATAGAATACGTGTCCCTGAGTCTTTTGAAAGGCGCTTATAAATAAAATGTATTACTGTATTTTCCGCACCAAAAGGAGCACTGGCTTATGAGGCGCACTTTCAACGAACGGCCTATTTTGTAATTTTTTTTCATATATTGGACGTACTGGATTATAAAATGCAATCTACAATTGCATCCACTAGATGGAGCTACGCTCCTTCAGTTTGACTTGAGGCGTTCATGACCGCCTCCGAAAAAGGTAAATTAATGATTCCTTCAATGAAATTACGAAAATTGAAAATAATGCTTCAAAACAGAAAATCAAGCGAGGACAATTAATGATTCCTTCAATGAAATCACAAATAAATTCTGTTGGGGGGGCATAGAATTTATTTTGTGATTTCCTCGCTTGATTGACAAAATTAATTGTATCGCCCCCCGACAGAATTTATTTTGCCATTTCCTTGAGCGTAGCTCCAATTGAACGATCAGATGTCAGTAAAATGTAGGAGACTGGTCTGTCTCAGAAGTGTTTATTTCTTTGTTGTGCATTCACAAACGAGGAAATCACAAAATAAATTCTGTAGGGGGGAGCTATAAAATTTATTTTGTGATTTCCTCACTTGATTTTCCGTTTTGATGCATTATTTTCAGTTTTCGTAGTTTCATTGAAGGAATCGTTAATTTACGTTTTTCGGAGGGGGTCATGAACGCCTCTCGAGTGGAACGGAAGAGAAGGCATTAAATAATTCATTCTTCAAATAATTATTCTTCCAAGACACGATAGTCATGGTAACAAGGAAAAGGTTTCCTGACCAGAAAGGATCGGCCATCACGTCGCGTCCGTCAAAGGAATAAATGGGTATCCTGGTGCTGAAGGCACCTCCTTCGCCAGTGAAGATAGACTTCCAGTTCCTGAAGAGCACGTCTCCCTGTGAGGAGGTATCACGCGTCAGACACATTCGTAGCCACTGACAAACCCCAGAGAACTAAATCCACATTTCTTTTTTTCAATTTTCAAATGAAGTGCAATAATGAAAAGAGCATCTTACAAGATGACCACTCGTCAAAATGATGTCGACTCACCCTGAGGTTGGTGATGGGCAGAGTGTCCCTGAAGCCAGGGTAGACCACGTGAACCAGGTCCTGCTTGTTGGATGAGACGAAGGCGCGGTAGTTGGGGGCGAGGCCCATGGCCTTGGCCTGCTCGTAGCACAGCCGGTCGGCCGTGTCCAGCCCCGTCATGTCTCCCGTGTGCGGCTGATTCAGGGCCACCAGGTTGAGCTGAAGGAAGTGCGGCGGCGGGTTTGCAATGACAATGTGATGAAAAAAATTACAACACAGGAAATGTCGTGAACATGACTCACCCTGTCAGTGACGGAGCGCACTCGTTCAATTGTGCCGCCTGATATTTGCTGGGCAGCACGAGGCTAAATGGACACAAAAAAAAAAAACACGTTCATATTTCAAGGTCCCAAACTCATTTTATCATCAGATCATATTTTGATATGCACCTCGTCTTGTGGGAGGATGTTACTGGAGAGTTGGAGCAGACTGCCGAGCTAGAGGGAAGGGAGCATTGAAGACCGTCTCAGTTGTGCACATGGAGGGGTTTCGGCACTAACACAGCCTTGGACAGGATATTTTTAAGAATGGAAATGCTCGCACCTGGATCTCCTTCCAACCCTTGGACACTTTGAGGAAGAGGCTTCCTGTGGACATGACATAGGCCAGCATGCCCTCAGCCTCCCTGGCCGTCTTCTGCATCATGGACTCAACTGTGGAAAACGTAGTCACCTGCCAATACACACCATCACCTTCAGAAACAGGCCTGACTGCATTTTAAAGCCATTTTCAAATAGCCACGTAAATCTATAAGCTTTCAGATTTGAGAGCGGAGTCGGGAAAATGAAACCCATTTCTCGCAATCTAATCCAAAGCACAATCCACGTTCATGATTTTGCAAGGGGCCATAAAGGGTAGACAGGAATCTGATGATCATCAGCAAACTGAGAGCTGAAATTGGAAGTCGCTACATTTGCATTCACGTAATCCGATCCAGTGAGGATTTGTGCGCATTGAACGTACAGCAGCAGAACCTCCGAATGGTCCACGTGGGCCAGGGGCTCCGGCTGGGCCAGGAGGTCCAGGGGGTCCAGGTGGTCCAGGGATACGCGCATCTGACCAAGACATAAAAAGTCATTCAAAGCTGCTGCTTATTGGATACAAAGTAAGATGATGACGATCCACACACCTTTTTTACCAAAGCCTAACGACCAGCTTCCGGTTTGCCCCGGAGGTCCGGGGGGTCCCGCTGGACCAGGTCTTCCATAGCCCGGCGTGCCCGGGGTGCCCGGTTCTCCGCGGGGGCCTTGTGGTCCGAGTACAGACTCGCCTTTGGGTCCCTGGAGGGTTGGCAAAAAGACATCAAACCCCGCGTTGTCTCATCCGAACATGGTGCGGTTGGGTTGCCACGGCAACGGCTCTCACCACTGGCCCTTGTTTCCCGGGAGCACCTGGTTGCCCGGGCAAACCTGACTCGCCCTTTTCTCCTTTTTCTCCATCGATGCCTGGTTCGCCCTTCACTCCCTGACACACACCCACACCCACACAAAAGATTTAGTGTTTTGGCATTGACAAGAAACACTCATTTTTATGTATTTAGAACTTACCAAGCGTCCTCTGAAAGTGTCTGATGCGGAGAGAACAAAAAATGAAATAAATGTAATATTCTTCAGACACTTCACTAGGCACACTTACACAAGGGATTATACAAAATTGGATTAGGTATGAAAAAGTACCAACAGGGATTTCAACCCACTTTTTTTATGGTGAATACTCAAAATGACCACCGAACTTCGATGCTACGCTCTACCCAATTTACATGGTGTAGACAAAAAAAAAAAAAAAAAACAACCCTTCAATGAATGGCCTATTTTGTAATTTTTTTCATATATTGCATTATAAGACGCAATGCATCCACTAGATGGAGCTACGCACCTTCCGTTCGACTCGAGAGGTGTTCATGACCGCCTCCGAAAAACGTAAATTAACGATTCCATCAATTATGAAACTTGAAAATAATGCATCAAAACAGAAAATCAAGCAAGGAAATGACAAAATAAATTCTATCACCCCCCTATAGAATTTATTTTGGCGTTTCCTTGAGCGTGGCACCAACAGAACGATCAGATGTCAGTCAAATGTGACTGGACTGTCTCAGAAATGTTTAATTTATTCATTTGTTGTGTACTGTATTCACAAACGAGGATATCACAAAATAAATTCTGTAGGGGGGGCTTACAGAATTTATTTTGTGATTTCCTTGCTTGATTTTCTGTTTGATGCATTATTTTCAATGCTCGTAGTTTCATTGAAGTAATCGTTAATTTACGTTTTTCAGAGGCGGTCATGAACGTCTCTCGAGTCGAATGGCAGAAGAGAAGGCGCCGAGACGGACAAAGACGTAGCTGTAATTGTTGAGATTGTGAAAACCATTAATAATTGTGCGTTTCAAAAAAACAACACCATAGCTCTCCTTTTTTCGGAGCTGCAACAAAAACGTATTTAATAAAGCAGCGACACAGTTCACTGAACCAAATGCAAGTTATAACATTGTAAGCATGTCTCCAGCAAGGAGCCATCTTGGTGTCGACATGTTTCCGTAATGACCCCACACAAGGCGCACCGGATTTTAAGGCACGCTGTGAGCAATAAATATGAATTTTAAAAATGGAAAAGTGAGTGGCAACTTTGGACTCACTAGGTGGCGCCGGGATGCCAGGAATTCCTCGTTCTCCCTTTTGTCCTTTCATCCCGTCCTGATAGTTACCTTGCGTGACATAAACGAGATTGCATTTAAAAAGCCATCTCATCACAAACAACCATTTTGAAACACGCCATCGTTGTTGGGAAACAGACGGTTTTTGCTTACCGATCACAGCGCTTCCGTTGAGATTGAGCTGGGGGATGAAACAGAAACTGTCAGTCGGGACTTTATTCGTAAGTCGAGATGTATTCAAGATGAAACATGAGAGAATAAGACAATCTGGTCTTAAATATTAATCGTCCGCGAAAAAGTGACTGACCGGTGTTTTGCAGAAGGGCCTGGCAGGGACAGGGAACACAGTCTAGAAAGGCAACGGAGTTAGCTTGAAGGTTTAGAATTACAGCAACTTTGACGCTAATTTCTGTTAGCCCCTCTATGGTGTTGGCATTAGCATTAAGCTAATCGGGATGAGTTTCGCTAAATGAAATGACATTGTTTGGTTGACGTTTAAACATTACATACATTGAATATTTATTATATATTAATTTTGTTTATTATTTTTTTTAATTGCTTCCTTACTCCGTTGGGGCATCGGAACATTCCAGGGCGGCCCGGTCGTCCGGGAGGGCCTGGGAGTCCCTGTAGAAGGAGCCGCATTCAAAAAGAAATGATTGGAACACTTGGTTCACTTATATTTTCTCAGAATGATTTTTCACGCCGTGACTCACAGGTCTGCCGACAGATTCTCCTTTCTCTCCTTTGAGTCCCGTCACGCCAGCACGACCCTACACACGCACACCAATACATGATTGTGAAATATGTTGTGTTATGATCATTGTCAATTTAATTGAGTTCGGCATTAAATAGATTAAAAAAAAAAAAGATGCGTATGCAAAATTTCCTGTCGCTAATGAAGTATCCTGAGAGTGTACTGGCTTCGCTAACGCTCTAAAACCAAGCATGTGTATTCGGTTTTGTAAATATTGACTCATGCTTGTAAATGCCAATAAATCCTTCAATTGACTCCAAACAAACTGATGCCTAAAGGAATTTTTTTTTCACACTCTTATCACCGTGCACAAATACAACGTTTGTGTAAACACGACTGAGTCAATTAGCCCAAAGGCAGTACAGACAACAGCTGCGATCCAATTTGAAGCCACGAATGGCTTCAGGCAGTTTTGTTGTTGTTGTAAGAGAAGTTCATTGTGAGTGAAATAAAAACTTTTGTTGAACTTCAAGTGCTTACGGGTCTTCCGGGGAAGCCGATGTCCCCTTTTGGTCCTGGCATTCCGATCGGTCCCTGTTTGGCAGTAAAAGACGGTCAATTCCTGCAGCCCTTGAACGCATCGCCATCAATCATGGTTGCAGTATTCAAACACTCACGAGTGGTCCGGGAAGTCCAGTTGCACCGATGTTGCCCTGCAGACAATTGTAGAAAATAGATGTTTTTCCTCTTCAGAATGTGTCTTAAAAAGTCTTAAGAAATGTGTTCTGAATCTCACTTTGTATCCTTTGTCCCCCTTTAGAGCAGACAGGTCATAGGTGGATCCGTTTCCGGAGATGATAATTGCCGGCTCGCCTTTCTCCCCCTGAGCAAAAGTAAACTCAGTGAAAGCCAGACACTAATACATGATTGTTAATGTGCTGTGTTCGCCACTGAGGCATTTTTTTATTCAATTAGATTCTATTCTAGGGCTGCTTTGAGTGATTCAAATCGCTTAGGTCACAAAAGAGGCAAGTTGTTTTTTTTTATGCTCTGCTGCCACCGTGTGGACATGTGATGAATTGTACGAAGGCCTCATAAGGCCACACTGACCAGAAAAAGTCTCGAAGGGGATAAGTCATATTTTTTTAAGGAAAAAGTGATTCACTTGCCCCTGAAAAAACAATTAATGTATATTAATTGAAAAAAAAAATAAGAATTTCGTATTTTGGTTTCCCGTATAAAAAGTCATAATTTAAGAACTCAAGAAAAGTCATCTTTTTACAAAAACAATCTTACAGACATCAAGTCATATTTCTTGTGGGGGGGAAAACAATCTATTTTTACATGGGAAAAAATGTAATTATACAAGATTAGAATCTTTTTTTGGGGGGAAAATGCTTTTAAAGAGAAAATATTTACAAAAGTACTGCACATATGGTACATCTAAAGTGATAACTACCACTCATGTAAAATTGGATTTTTTTTTTATGCGACTAATAAAAATAACTTGACTGTCATTGTATTTGTTTTTGGTTTGCTCTTCAATATTTTGCATAACCAGCTGCCCCATTTTTGACATGGCTTGATCCCACCTGTGGCCAATGTGGTGCATTCAAGTTGCATTGTGTGCGCACACTTGCCTTGAGTCCTGGAGGTCCTTCAACACCTTGCACTCCTGGATCTCCCTTGGGGCCTTGTTTTCCCTGCGGATAGTGAGGAGAGACGATCACTGCATGGTCTTCGACACTGGAAACTTTTCCTGGACTGCAACCACATTCTGATCCTTTTTTTTTGGTGTGTTTGTGACACTCACAGCCGATCCCTGAGCCTCAAAAATCCCTGAGAGGTTGAAGACGCCGTCTGTGTCATTGAGTAGGAGCTGAGAAAGAGGAGAAGAGGGGGCGCATTGAGAATGAACAAAAGCTTTTGGACTTAAGCGGCCTCGATTGGTCGTGTCTGACTTCATTGAGGTTGACAACGGGTCCTGGAGGTCCGGGAGGTCCTGGAGGGCCAGGTAGTGTGAGCCCATCGCGTCCTGGCTCGCCCTGAGGAGCAGGTTGGTTGGCGAGTGAGTGAGTGAGCCAACAAGTCAACCCAAGTCATGTGTGGTTATTACCTTTTGTCCAACAGCGCCGGGATCTCCTTTAAGACCCTGAATGCAACACAAACCGAATTAAATCACGACCTACAAAGGGCCTTTCTGTGAGTCTTTCAGTCTCGATATAGCCGCCTGATAATGACTCAATAGTGGCCACTTCCCTCTCAGTGTCACACTGTGTCTTCAACGGGGTGCAACAGGGACACAGACTGGAGGAGTCACAGAAAGGCATGGAAGTGGACTTTTTTTCGTTGAGGTGGCGCATTCACCGACCTCAGAACCTTTGGATCCCTCTGGTCCTGCTAAACCTGGTGGACCTGCATCACCAGACTCCCCCTGCACACGGCAAGGACATGCCATGTGTGATCACAAACAACCATTATGTATTATTAAACGATCGCACTGAACACTTCCATCATATTTCACATGTATGACCACGAACATGGATTCATCACGTCATGAATTACACAAATTTGTCATCATGCATTTATCACATACAAAAGATATTTGGTCATGAATGCACCCACATGTCACTCATACAACATGCATGATGTTCAATATGCATTCCTGATATACATATCTGGACGCACACCTTAAGACCTGGCTCTCCAGCAGGACCTTGGGGGCCTTCTTCACCCTTTGAGGCAAACGAAATGATGTTGAACACAAGTCATGGCCAATCACACTCAGAGTACAGTTTCACTTCAAATGGGAATGATTAATAATCCTGTGTAGTCATTAAATATTAAAGTTGCCGTGCGCGTTTGTTACCTTTGGTCCTCGGAGTCCAGGAGCTCCTGGATGACCCTGTTGAAAACACATTGTATAAATATATTCATCCCATTTTCTCATCCTAGTAACATACCCGAAACAGTTCTGATACAGGACCACTGTATCAGGATGGCAAACCATCCTGGTCCGAAAAATATCAAAGTGTGTTGTCAGAAAAGTGTGTGTATGGCACAGGCACACACCGGCACAACGCAACACGTCTGCGGTCAATTGAATGACTAAAATGTGACAAACACTTTTGTTTTTGCCCACAAAACTAAGACTACATTTAAAATGGCTGCCAAACAACACTGGTCTGAGGCTTATACATGTACCTCAATGTCAAACGGCAAGCCTTTGGCTGGGGCGCCGGGTGGTCCAGGAGGACCCGCTGGACCCTGGGGCCCAACCCTGCCCTCTGGACCTTCGGGGCCGGCAAGTCCGGGGAAGCCCTGAGGGCCCTGATCTCCCTGGAATATGACAAAATAAAGCACAACATTTTTCAGTGGATCAAAACAACACACATAAATCAGGTTCAGTCAACATCCACCCCGCCCCGATCATCCGTGGCTCAGCTTTCATGAATTTCCAGATTTTTATAATCCATTATTTACTCAGGCCAAAGCCATGTCCAATATAAAAATATTTACCTGGCGCCATCTTGTGGCATTAAGGGACAAAGTACTAATTTGGGAAAAAAAAATGCTTTCCCTTTATGCTTTTCCTTTGCCGCCACCTTGTGGCATTTATAGGCATTACAAACCTTTTTGGGTGGACTTCAAATTACTCCGATTTTTTTTCCTGCAATTCACAAAATAAATATGTACCTTAGGTCCTGGTTGGCCGTCTACTCCAGGTTCTCCCTGTTGAATTCAAATGAGGAAGTTTGATTCCAATGATCAGCATTTGAGCGACAAAAAAAATTGAAATTTATACAATGACAACTTCACCGTGTCTCCCTTTTCTCCAGCAGGTCCTTGTTCTCCTTTGTGTCCATCCATTCCCTGAAAGTTTCAAATGTTATTTATTTCTTGATTTATTTTTAAGCTGTCCATTGTTAGTCTATGTTTTGACTGATTGAAGCTGCAAGCTGTTGTGAATCAGTGACCATTAACATTAGGGGCAAGTGGCGCAGTGCCACACCACACCCGGGGGGGCGCTATGGTAACTTTTTTACATTTCACACAGATCTTGGATTCAGTTTGCCCCTTTTCAATTTTTTTGCTACATTTTGGAATGTGTAGAAGATGTACAATATTTATGTAAAACAACAGCATAGTTTTTAAGGTTTTGTGGAATTGTAGATCCCAAACGGGCATTCCTCCAGTTAGTTGAAGCGTTTTATGAAGACACATTTCTCCCAACAAGTGCCGCCATTGAGTCCATGTTTTGAACCAAGCTTTGAAGCTCACCGTCTACATCTCCAATATGTTTGATACAAACATATTGAATTATTGCTGCAAACAGTTCAAATGATGAACCAAATGGCCTGTTTTTAAAAAGTTGGGAGAAATTGTGTCTTTCGGGTTCATCCAATGCGATGGAACCCAGCAGTGATACCTGACCAGAACCAGAAGCAGAAGCACTAAACCACTCGTCAGTACCCTGCAAGAGTTCCATTTGTAATAATAAACTTGTTATTTTTAAAAGGTGTTGAGCATTTAAGAGTTTGTATGAAAGGCTGATGGGCTTACAGGAAGTCCAGTTTGTCCTCTTTCTCCATCTTTCCCGGGAAGTCCAGGTGGTCCAGGTATGACTTCCTCAGACGGGATCCCAGGGGGGCCGCGGGGTCCTGGAGCGCCGGGGGGTCCCTGACAGAGGAAATAATTAATAGCTCAGCAACAACGTGGTGACGTCATTTTTCTTTTTTTTTTTTTGCGGAGGCTTCGTTCTCACTCGAATGATCTCCATATCGGCGTCCAAGTCGTCAAAGCCCAAAGCTGAGCCTGAGCCCTCCTGACAAGAATACGCGGAAAAATGATTCAACAACTAAATGTTAAGATTACCAAAATGACAACTTATTACCAAGAATTTGGAGGAGAAGCGGCCTGGAGGTCCGGGAGGTCCGGGAAGGCCTGGCTGTCCAACCCCAGTATCGCCCTGAAGGCAAATCGAACATTATATTGAGTGACATTTATGTTCTCTTTGCGCAAAGGGGAATTTCATGTCAACGTACTTTTTCTCCTTTGGGTCCGGGCTCTCCTCCAAGGCCTGGGAATCCCGGAGGGCCAGTGGCTCCCTGAAATACAATCATCTCATGATACGCAAATCATGTTACAGCAGCGTTTGATCTGGTGGACCACAGTATGCTCATGTTTAGCACCAGGTGTGTTTTTCTTGACTTTTCAATAAACATAAATAAACATGAGAGCAAAGATTCTTATGAACGACTCTAAAGTAATGTAAGGCTGAATTTCGCCCCAGTTCGCATGTAGCGTTAACATATGACATACTAATTTACTTACCGGAGTGCCATTTTCTCCTTTTGCTCCCTAGGAGAGAAAAATAGTGACAGAATGTGTTTTATTCCATCTTTTCTGTTTACCATATGTGTGAAAACACGCATCAGCAAAACATACATGCTGTCCGTCTTTTCCTGCGGCTCCAGGAGGGCCCTGAGGCCCTGGAGGTCCCGGCGGACCACGTGGTCCAGGTTCTCCTGCCAATTCCGAGCCTTCTCCCGGTGGGCCGTCAGGTCCTGGGGGGCCTTGCGCACCTGGCTCACCTCTCTCACCTTTTTGTCCCGAAGACATCTGTGACACACGTGTGCAAAGAACTCAATTATTGTATATTTATAGTTCATATTTCTGTGGTAAGCACTGAGCAAAACGCCAAGAGTAAAATGGGGCAATGAGCCTCATGCTGCTTCACCGAGTCTGGAAAGATGATTGTGGACTTACAGTATTGGACTTGGGGGCTGCTGTTGCTGAATGGACTGGTCGCACTGTAACTGAGTTAAAATGTCAAAATATGAAAATACTATCCACCTAACGTAAAAACAAATAGATATATCATATAGTCTTTCTTTACCCGTGGGTGTGGTCGTCTGCATTTCCTGCCCAGAAGCCTCTTCCATGTCGTCTCCAGTTTCATCATCATCATAACTGGTAGGCATCTCGGTGGGGGGTGCTCGGACCGGGCTACTGAGTGTTGGGGGCAGCAGTTCCTAATAAAATGACATGGAACTTTTATGAACAGTGTACAATAAAAATGGCGGAGTCATAGAGGCCATTCAATGATCTATTGTGTGTTCAAGAATGGTACATCCTCTGTCGCCATGGCAACAGCGTTCACGATCAAGGGCCCTTCTGCATGCCGGTAGGTAGTACATTCATCACAAACAAGCAAAACAATTGGGAGTGCACTTTTACCGGCACACTTTGAATATTATTAATATCAGACAAATTCAATAGGTTTAAAAAAAAACTCAGAACATTCAAGTGTTGCTATTTTTCTGATTATCGAAAGCCTGGTGATGAAGTGAAGACATACAGTATGGTGTGAAATACAGAAAAACCTGAAAACAGGCTACATTATCAAGCAAATGTGTGTGTGTGTTGCATCTACTTTTTTGTACTCCTTCTCTTCCACAACTTTCTTGACTTCCTCTTTTCCCTCCATGTCCTCGTAAGTGTCATCGCCGCTTCCAGACACCTGATGAGGACAAGTGAAACGTGAAGAGCTGACTTTTTTATTTTATTTTTTAACTTTCTATCAGTCATTAAAACATGTTTTTTTAAAGATCATTATCAAATTTTTGTGTTCATTTTTTTAAACACACAATAAGAAAAATACATAACCACTTTGTGGCATTTATATTTTTCCCCATTTATTTTGAATTTATTTTGTCCTTGACGTGGTGAGCGGTATCGCTATGCAAACATGACAGAACTGAGGGGTACACTTTGTGGTCAAAAGTCATCAATTGATATTCCTGCAATGCACATTTTGGCCAGGAGACGGAGCCCGCGCGCGCGTGTGCGCGCTTCTTACGTCAGGGTCGTCCTCCTCGCACTGGTCGTCACGGGCCGTGGGATCCGACTTGAGCAGCAGCTGCTGGATGGAGCCCTGGAAGGAAAGAAAGAAAGGTGATTACATGTAGAGGACCCCCCCCCCCCCGTTTCCCATCAGTCGTTGCAAGCAATTAGCAGGGAGCCGAGCGTGGCATTTCCCACGCAGGGCGGCACAATTGACGCAACTGACATCCCTTCGCTGCTATCATTGCGTCCATGAGCAATGCGGGAATGTTTTGTCCGTTTATTAGGTTGTTCTTTCACACCAAACTGATCCAAGCAAGCCATTATAGAATCTTGGGAACAGACAAGGAAGTTCCCAAAGTCATAATTATCCTATTCACTTTTTGTACATTTAATCTTTTGGAAGGGCTTGTTCTCAAACATTTGTTTTGGTGAAATTTGTCTTGAACTTTTAGGTGCAGCGCATTTCTGTTGAAATAAAATTTGTGATGAACAGCTGGGCCGATTATGCTCGTCTAATGTTTGTCAGTGTATTTTCCTTCGGTCGAGTTTATTTCATGTTATGAGGCAATAATCTGTGGCTCATTTGGCAGAATTGTTAGTCACCAGCGCAAACAGCTGGAACCCAACAAAGAGGAGCCGGGGGGTGGTGGTGGGGGTCTGGAAGATAAGATGAAGTTGTAGGCGAGAAATAGTTCACAGTGTTTCTGGGTGATGTCACCCTCCAACCCAATTTCTTCTTCTCCTCTTTCTTCTTCTTCTCCATGACGAACCTTTCAATCAGGCCCAATGCAAACATGGATTTCTGCATCCCTCGCTATATGTTGTACTATTCCTGTACGCCATCTAATCTTGTGCCAGATACTTGAAAAAGCATCAAGATGTTTTCAACATCTGGTTACAAAAAAAAAAAAAAAGGCCACTGAGATCATAAAAATTCCACATCAGAGTCACTGAAAGAAGCCACGAGGTAGACAAACCTTCTTGGCATGTTTCTCCATGACTTTAATCAACTTTTTGCATTCACGCATTACCAGTTGAAGCTTTAAAATGTAAAGCAGGCAACGGCCACGGAGTCGACGAACTCACCACAAAGTGGGGCAGGCCCGTGGCCCCTGCGCTGCCCACGAAGACACCCGAGCTGGCCTCGAAGGTGAGGGGCTGACGGCTCCTGATGAACGCCACGCGGTGGTACTCCTCGCAGTCCATGTAGAGGCGCACCTGAGGCAACAAAGACCATTGCGTCGTCACTGCAAAATGTGCGACCTCAAGAGGCAGTTAATGGAACTACCACTACGCCGTAAATGGCGTCAGTGAGCTCCCTGCGGTCTACTTGCCAAATTTGAGAATAGACACTATATGCAGGAGCAAACTGTGACTTTGCAAAGTGACTGTAGTCAGATTATTTCACCGAGAGAATTAACGTGTTACATTTTAAGTAATACGTGACCGGCATCACTGCTTACAACTTTAACTTCTGGGAAGCAGCAAAGCCTCACGAACTTTTTTTTCCCCATTGGGTTTGAGCTGCTTGGAAAAAAAAAGAAAAACTTATTTGGGAAAATTTGGACTGGTACTGTCGGTGAATTGGCGCATAGCCAACCTCACTACTCAATCAAAATTGCATTGTGAATTGGGACTGTGCAGCTTGTAGGGAACACAGCGGACATTTTGTGTCATGCGAGCACACTTACCTCGGCCCCCTCAACCGTCAAGGTGAACCTGGCCCACCTTCCTGTCAGGTCGCCCATGTGGTACTCCTCGCAGTCCATGTAGAGGCGCACCTGAGGCAACAAAGACGATCATTGCGTCGTCACTGCAAAATGTGCGACCTCAAGAGGCAGTTAATGGAACTACCACTACGCCGTAAATGGCGTCAGTGAGCTCCCTGCGGTCTACTTGCCAAATTTGATAATAGACACTATATGCAGGAGCAAACTGTGACTTTGCAAAGTGACTGTAGTCAGATTATTTCACCGAGAGAATTAACGTGTTACATTAGCCATTTTAAGTAACACGTTACCGGCATCACTGCTTCCAACTTTGACTTCAGAGAAGCAGCAAAGGCCAAAT